GTCGCAGAGGAGGACCGCCGGCGATTCTTCCAGCAGGCTGGCAAGGTCGTGAAGAAATTCGGCGTGAAGCTGGTCAGGCCCCACGCCGATAACTTCGTGGCGCCCTTCCTCGTCAAGGATAAGGAAGAGACCGCTCGAGCCTACATCCAGCACATGGAGGACTTCGTTCAAGGCAAGTAGACCCTGCGGATGCCGGTACAGATCCCAGTGGACTTGCAGCCCCTGACGAAGGCCAAGCAGGCCTCCGGCATTTGGCCTAAGATGCCCTTTAAGGACGAATCCTGCGTCCTCGTCGGCAAGGCAAAAGACCGCGCGCAGATGCTTAAGAAGCTCGGCGAAATCGTAGGCCAAGTCCGCAGCTCTGACACTGCCTTCCCCAACATCGCGCCCGCGCACTACGGCAAAGCCATTGGCAAGGGCGGCGCCAGCCTCAGGGACGATGTGCGGGTCAGCATTCCCAAGGACAAGGAATCGCCCATCCCTGTTTCAGGCAGGTCGGTCAGTGGGCGCGGTACCATCAAGGAGCTGGAGGAGCTCGTCCATTAGGACGTGCTCAAGCAGTGCATGTTCCTCCCGGTGAACATCCTTCCCGAGAGAAGGGCTGAAGCCACGCCGCCAAGGTCCAGCAGGAGTTCGGGGTCAAGCTCCGCACCAAATCCCGCGAGCACCCTCAGAGCCCGCTGGTGGTCGAGGGGCCTCTGAGCGCAGCAAGGGAAGGCCGTGGCTTCCATCGAGCTCCATGTTGCCGAGAGGCGCCACCTTTATGAGGAGCACGCCAAGAAGCGGCGTCGCTGAAAGGAGCTGAGGGGGACGTTCCCCGTCTGCGTCTGATCCGGGCCGGATCAGAATAGTCACTGGTAAGGGCGGATTCCGAAACGGCCACGTCGCCAAGAGTCACGGCGTCAGGATCCAGATCTTTGAGTGAAAAGCCCGGCGCCCAGATCTTGGTAACGGGCCACAAGGAGAACGCCCGGGCCGCCGCCACCGAGCTCGAGCTCATGGCAACTTTCAGAGCCGCACGTCGTCGTCTCGTCATCACATTAAGCGCGGCTTTACACATCCTCGTGCTCGGCCCGAGGGCTGCAGGGACGCCTGGATCGAGCGAAACTTTGCATCAAGTTTGTAAGGCCCAGCGTCAACATGCCCCTGATGCTCGTGGGCAGCTGAAGCCCACGTTGAGCAGTTGTCGCCAACCGGCGCTTTCCAACGTCCGTCGCGGGACCACAAGAGATGGAGATGGCGGACGAAAAGAACCAGCCTTCTCACGTTCAGGTTCAGAAATCTTGGGAATCTGATTCGGGTGAACGTCATTCCGGTCTCTACTTAGAAGGTAACATGTCACTACTCTACCCAACCCACACACACACACAGTATGTATGATCTAGTGTATATTGATAATATATAGTAGGTATGTGAATAGTAATTATAGTATATTATAATGTAAATATAGTATAGTACGATCACTTAATGATAATCAGTAGTAGTATATAATTATATACTCGTACGTGTACATATATACATATACAACTATCACAGACTACTACAATTATTTAGTATATATATTAATTATATTTAGTATTATAGGTAGTATAAACTATTATGGATACGGTATATAGGTCTTAATATAGCACCTCCATATACTCTCCGTATCATACATATTGAACTATGATTTTCTATCGTAGGAGAATGAGGACGGAAGCATAGATTCAGATGTGCACGCACGAGAGGGAGATAAACGAATTAAATTATAATAAAAGGTATTAAACCGCGGATCACACTATATAGGTTTGTCAGAACATGACGTTGCAAAAGCAGAAAATATAAGTGACACGTATTACGTAAGTATATATATATGATTAAATATGTCACAATTTTAATATAATATTATATGCTTATAATATTAATTTACCACTCTATATTCATATATATATATACTGTTATGTATAATTTTACTATCCATATATATTATAACTGTAATCTAAAGTATATCCTATATATATATATATTATAAATTCTATATATAATATATATAAACACACACACACACACACACACAGCACATACCACACACACAGTCTACAACAACACCCACACACACACATACACTGATTTACACAGCTACACACACAAAACACGCACACACACAATCACATCATCACCACACACACACACACGCACGTGATGATTGTCTAATAGACATATATCTCACACACACAAACGCGTTCTCTGGTCTACTACAGCACACTCATATGAGTATAGTAGTATTACGTACTAGCTTATATGATATAATCATATAATTAGGATACGTATATCACTGATATAGCTATGCATAATGTATATAGTACTAAGCATATATATAAGTATTCTCATATTCTATATACTATCATATATAGCTAGCTAAATAGATGGCAGTGTGTAAGTATATATTTATATAATATATTAATAGTATATATAAGTAGATAAGTTATTATTATATATACGAGTATTCATATAGTTTAACACTGTATAATATAAATATGATATACAAGTAATATCCAGATGGGGATAGAGAAGATGAGAGCCGTGAGAGAGTCATCAAGTGGAGGAGAGTCCACACTATTTAGAACTAAGTTTTTTTTTGTCTATTTTGTGTGATATGTGATAAACATATATATATGGTCTTTCTATTTTAACTTTGCAAGATAAAAATCTACAAAACGCAGAAGATAGCATCACCGTTAGTTGATTGAGGCCTGTAACTGTCCTTTGTCCGATTGTATCATTGTTATCAAGCTCACGAGTTCTGGACATTCGTCTAATGAGAGAAAAGAAGAAACACAACAGCACCACTTTCACAAGGCTCTAACAGATAAATTAGTCGCGAAGCACAGTTAAAGGCGTAATGACAACGGATCATGGATCCCGCAGTTCCAGCCGTGTACCCTGTGGCCAGCGGTCGAGGAGACAACCACGAAGCGGCACTTGGTCTCCCACGTGCAAGGTCTTTAGGCACGGCCCGCGAGAAACAGCGGCGCCCTCCGACGGCACTACCAGTACTAAAGAAGAAGGATGGTGGGGTCAGGTGTGAAGTCCACCTTGCCATATCGGAGGAACAGGTGTGGAATGGCTTTCTAATCACAGCAGTCGGCTTTAGTGGGTATATAGATTAATTAAAATGGCTATGAAGCGATCAAAAATGGCTGAAGTGTGATTTCTCTGTCGATGAAGAACAGAAAGGAGGCGCTACCAAGGCAAATTCTAACTGACATGTCAGAGACACGTTCATGTCTTACCTTCTTGCATGACTGATGAGACACAAAGTAATTTGATGCCGGGTCACAGTCGGGCGGGATTGGCGCTGTTGTTATCGTAGCAGTCGACGCAGGACTCGCAGAAGGTGCTGTGGTTGAAGGTGTCTGAGATGTTGGTGCAGATGTCTCGGATAGCGACACAGTTGAAGAAGTGTGAGACGTTGAATTCGTTGATGTCTCGGAGGTTGATGTGGAAGACTCAGTCGCCGCAGTTGGAGTAGCTGTCGCCGGCGGTGTCATCGTCTGGCCGGGCATGAGGCAGTGCGCGGTGTCGGTGACGAAGGGCCAAGTGCACGCGGCCTGGACGGGTGTTCCACACGAGGCCTTCGGGGCACTCCCGGGTGGTGCGGGGTGCCGCCTCGCAATGTGACTGTTTGGAGGGGGTCACTGGGGGGCGCGTGTGTACGTATATATATATCACATATACGTATATAATATATATCATAGGTATATATTATTGAGATTGAAATTGAGAGTTGTCCAAAAAAAGTTGAATGTGCGCCCTTTCCGTGGTCAGCTTCTTAATTTTCAGTGTAGTTATCATCTATCATTGCATCAAATTAGAATTGAGAGTTCAGTTATGTTGATGGAAAGAGCTATGGCACCAATGTAACGAATCATCATTAGAAGGAATATATATAGTATATATATATATATATATATATATATATATATATTATATATATATAGTAGTATATATATACTATATATATATATATAAAATAATG